GGGGGGGGGGGGGGGGGTGATTTACTGCTGGCAGGGAATTTTGTTTCTGGGATCGTTTTGTGCAAGATTTTTTTTTATCCCATCACTATGTAAGATTTTTTTTGCCACACTTTCTTTCGCAGCATTTTTTTTCAATAGCTTATACTATTTAGGTTCTTTAATTATAGTTAACGTTGAGTTTTCTAGCTTCATGCATTGCTCTTAATAATACATATTGCTATGAGGTATAACATTTGGTTCAGGGCCTTTTCAGAAGGATGTGTAACTGGAGAGGACATAATTAGCGGGGGACCTGGAGAAGTTCCAGTCGGCAAGTCTGTATCTAGAGCCGTAGCTAGCATGTATAGTTGGGGGGTGTAAGCCAAAAATTTCCGAATGACGAAAAAAATTTCCGAATATATCATGGCATACTAAGCCACGAAGGTGTTTCGGAAAATGAAAACGCAATTTACAAACAAAAATACGCATATTTTACGCATAGACATATTACAGAAGCAGTGTGGTAGGGAGCTTTTGTTTATTGGGGGCAGAAAACGAGGGCCGGACGCCCGAGGAAATTTTTAAATTTCGAGTCTCTAAAATGCTATTTCCTGGACTTTGGGGAAGTTTTGACAGAATGCTGATGGTCAGGAAAAAGCGTTTTAGTATGTCGAAATTTACAATTTGCTTACAATTTATAGTGACAATGCAATTTTATAATATTTTCTCTGTTTAACAACTAAAATGTTGTTCTACTATTATTGCCGTAATTTTCCGAATGGCCAACCCGATTTTCTGAATATGTTGATTCTAAAAAGTTGGGGGGGGGAGTTAATCCCCCCCCAAATACCCCCCTCGCTACAGCCCTGTCTGTATTTCTGCCGTTACCTACAGCATATATATGCATGGTTTAACTCATAAGTATACGCCATAGGGCAGCAGCTCAGGCGATGATATGCTTAACTAGGACTCTGAGACAACTGAGTCGAGTACCGCAGGTGTGAGCCTCCAGAGGGATCTGGGGGCATGCCCCCAGAAAATGTTGGATTTTTTGAAGCCCAGATAAGCTATTTCCAGCATTTTGAGGAGTTTTCCAACAAGAAATTAACCTGACTGGTCAAATCGATCCCTGCAACCATGCTGTTTTGCAACATTTTTTCCCCACCAAATACTGGGGCAGGATATTTTTTTCCTCAGTTTGTTAGTGCAGGTATTTTTTTTGTTCAGAATAGCCTTGCAGGATTTTTTTTTCAAAATCACACCACACCCCCCTCAAAATTTAAATGATTGGCCCCTAAGCATAAATGTCTCCCAGTAGATTGGATGGAGAGGTTGCCTCTCATAGAAGGAAAACCTAAATCGCAACCAGTTCAGCGGCCAAATAATATCAGCTGCCCGGAATCGTATAAGAATGATAATTATTTTTTAAAGCTCAATTGGAAAAAAACGGACACGTTTAACACGCAGTCGCTGTCACAAGCAGGACTGGATCAATCACCTGAAGCTTGTCCATCGCACTATGAAACGATAAAAATGCCGATTCCGACAAGAATTACCCATCGACAACAACTATTTTCTAAAACCGCGAGCACCACTCCCCCCCCCCCCACACATTAATACGCTTTATTCTGATAGAAGAAGGTCCCATGAGCCTACGAAATGTATCAAGATATCTACCGATATAAAAACGAATAAACAGACTGTTCCTTCATTATTTTTAACTAATGCTTGTCACATTCTGAATAAAATGGATGAGCTCAGCTCAGTTGCGGAAATTAATGATCCTGACCTTATATGTATTTCTGAGACCTGGCTAGATCCCAGCATATACGATGGAGTTATATCTATTGGATCTAACTATACTCGGTACCGAAAAGATAGAGGAACACCTGGCGGCGGTTTAATTACTTATGTTAAAACTGCAATACCTTCTAGCCGCTTGTTCGACATGGAAGAGGAAGGCAAAGAGGCTCTGTGGCTATTGTTGAAATCACAAAGACTTCCAAGGCCTTACAGTTGCATTGTTATGGTTGCAGTCTATTATCCCCCAGGTAAGCGACTAAAAATGAGATAACTATGATTGATTATCTTACTAATGGAATCGAATTTATTCTACAAAGCTATCCCTTTGCTGGAATTATAATCGCTGGAGACTTGATTGACAACAAAATGAAGTTAAATGAAAACATTATGTAATTGTTTTGATTTGAGGAAAACTGTTAAGAAACCAACTCGCCAGAACAATACTTTAGATCAGATAATGACTAATATGTCGCCACTGTTTCAAGAAGTGCAACATCTTCCTCCCTTAGGTCGATCGGATCACCAATGCCTCCTTTTGAATCCAAAACATCGGACGAGTACACGCCCAATAACTAAAACATTTCGATCGATGAAACGTTCAAACTTAAGTCGGGCTAAGACTAAGCAGAACTGTCTGGGATGCAGTACACGAAGCAGAAGACGTAGATGACAAAGTCTCAATTTTCAATGGAGTTATTAGTCAAGCTCTAGACGGACGTATGCCTCTGAAATCCATACGCCTACATCCCACGGATAAACCTTGGATGACTCCAAACATTAAAGCAAAGATTAAGCTTAGACAACGGGTTTTTACTCGTGGCAACATGTCCCAGTATAATTTGCTAAGTGCACAAGTTGAAGATATGATTAGAAAAGCCAAATCAAATTACTATCAAAATAAGGCTAAAACATTCCGCACATCTGACCCTGCGAAATGGTACAAAGCAATTTATAATCTGTCCGGAGTAAGTAGTCAGCATGAAGGCCTAATAGTAAACTCCATGGGTAGCGAGGCCGCTTTAGCAGAAAAGCTTCAAATATCCTTTACTGAACCATGGAAAGACCTAATTACAACAAATATTCCCCAACTAGATGAAGTTGAGTCACTTCTCAAAGACTATCCTCCCCCTCTACCTAGTATTGGCCAGATTAAGTGCGTCCTAAATCACCTTAACCACTCGAAAGCAACGGGACCCGCCGATGGTGTTCCAGCATGGTTACTTAAACGATTCTCTAGCGTTCTAGCGCCGATTGACATCATTACGGCTAGCATTAAACAGTGTAAGTATCCAAGTCATTACAAACATGGCCTGGTCACACCTGTGCCTAAAGCATACCCACCAACTGACG